TTTTTGAGCAAAGAACCATTCATGAACCAGGCAACACTCAGAATCAGAAGAGGTTCAGAGAGCTCAGCTCTGCTACCTGGGCAGTATTTATAAACAGAATAGGTATTTCTCCAAAGAACTTTTAGACCCAGCCTGGAAGGTTTATTCTATAATCTTAGCTGAGGAAGGGTAAGTCTGAAGCCATTGGTAGCAGGAAAGGTTTCAACTATCAGAGAAAAAAGTTGTGGAAGTTGGGAATTGAGGTGTGATAGTATTACAGTGGTGGGTTTGAGGACAAGAGGTCATGTTGTAATGACATGTATGTAGTGTTATGCTGTAATAGTACCTAGATGTAGGGTGAGGAGGAGTCTTCTAATGTTCCATTTCCTAGGAATAGTCTGGGAGACGTCAAGGGTTAAAGCTGGTATGAACCAGGTAATATGTTCCAGGGCATAGGCCAAATAAAACGGTAACCTGTAATCTACCCTTGATTTCTCGCTAGTAGTTAAGACTTGGAAAACAAGGGTTCTACCTCTACTATTAATTGATAAGATAAACTAGCCTTTCAACCACGGTAGTCAGAGAATGCCCACTTTCTCACTCTGAAGCATTAAATGCTAAGAGTATAGGTTTACTGCAAATGCATGCTGTGAGGACCTGGCAGGTGTTCACAGTGGTCATCACTGGGTACCCAGGTCTACCCAGTTTCAACACTTGCTGGGCCATTGGCGATCCTCTCAGGAGTCGAGTCAGATACCCACCTTTGTGGGAATGTGGGAGCCAGAACATATGCTTGATAAATATTTAAGTGCTTCTGATCCTGAATTTAATTCAGTTAACCAGGAAAAACTGTAACCATTTCCTTGAAAGGGTAAAGCTGGTGTGTCTATTTCTGACTATGAACACTAAGTAGCTAACATGTCTGGACCATGTGTTTAAAAGTTTATAGATAGGTGAGGGCTTGATCCCTATGGTAATGGTTAAGGTCGTAACATTTTAGCCTACCCTGATGCAAATCTTTTTTTTATTGTTTAATATTTTTATTTTGTTTATTTGTTTTTATTTACTTTTCAGTTTAGTTGGACACAATACCTTTATTTTATGTATTTATTTTTATATGGTGCTGAGAATTGAACCTAGGGCCTCACACATGCTAGGCAAGCGCTCTACCTCTAAGCCACAACCCCAGCCCCTGTTTATTTTATTTTATTTTTATTTTTTTTATGTAGTAGTGCTTCGGATTAAACTCAGTGCCTCTCATGTGTGAGGCAAGCACTCTGCCACTGAGCCACAACTCCAGCCCCTGATGCAAACCTTTCTATATGAGTTTAAGGTTGATTATCATCACAGCCTGATAATCTATTTGTTTATCTCCCCAGGACAGATAGACTACTGAGTGGCCTTAACTAATACACCTGATGAGGTCTCTTCTGGCTGGGCAAGGATAATATTTGCTTTTTAGGATTCTTTCTTACTTTTTTTTTTGGATAGTATTCTAATAATAAAGTTTTATTTGGATACAGTAGTGGTTCTAGGCATACAACAATGGCTTATTCATTCACTAGAAAGAGTCTTTCTTTTTAAGCAGAGGTTGCTAAAATGTTACAAAGTAAAGGAAGAACATTAGAAGACTCTGAAATACATATGATAAAAAGATAATTTTCTTTTTCTTTTCTTTTTTCTTTTTTTTGCTTTATCTTTTGGTGTTGAGAATTGAATTCAGGGACACTTTATCTCTGAGCTACATTTCCAATTCTTTTTATTTTTCATTTTCAGATAGGAACTTGCTAAGTTGCTGAGGCTGGCCTTGAAATTGTGATCTTTCTGCCTAAGCCTGTCAAGTAGTTGTGATCACAGGCGTGCACCACTATTGTTTAGCTTAAAAGGATAATTATTTTCTTTTACAGAGGGCTATAAAGATAAAATCAACAAGAAAAAGATAAGTTAATTATTGAAAACAAAAGGAAAGCTGGGCACAGTGGCACAAACCTGTAATCCCAGCTACTGGATAGGTTGAGGCAAGAGGATTGCAAATTTAAGGCTAGCATGAGCAACTTAGTAAGATCCTGTCTCAAAATACAATATATTTTACAAAAGTGTTGGAGATGTAGCTCATGGGAGAGCCCTTGTTTAACATGTGTGGGCCCCTGATTTGATCCCCAGTGCTGAAATAAACAAACAAATAAATAAATACATAAATGCAAACAAGTGAATAGGTGACTAGTCAATGGATCCTCAATCTTTTCAAGTGATGAGGCTAGGTCTGTAAATTGTACACGTTACGATAAGGAATTTCCTTACTCCCCTGAAATCATCCCTAGCCCCAACATTGTAGAATGAGACCAGAGCTGGCTAGGTGATGGGTATTAGTGGGTGAGAATAGGTGAAACTTCGTACTATCATGGCAAAGTCCCTCATTTGGTTGGCTGTGGAACCTAACACCAGCAAGGATTTAGGAAATACAGTATTAGAGTGAATATCTTAGAGATATATCCCCATCATGTTACAGACAAAGGGAGGTAGAAGCCCAGAAAGTTCCAGTCCAGATAGCCTTTTCCCCCTGGATGTTTCATAAATGCCTGAAATCAACGACAAGGAACCATTAGCTTTCTCCCCAGACCATATTATCCTCTTGAGTTTTTTTATCTCAGAGAATGTATGGCACCCCCCACTCCCAAATCCAGACTTCGATGCCAGAGAGCTGGAGTTACCTTGGGCTCCTTCCCTCCCTTCGTCTCAGTGTTCCTTCCTCACCACCTCTTGCTTATTCTATCTGCTATCTTCCCTAGCCACAAATCCATCTCCGTCCTTCTTGTTATCTACTTCAGCAGAAATTAGGGCATTTGTGCCTCATCTAGTCAGTCGTTCCTTCTTTGGTCTCATTCCTTGCTTCCTGGATCAGTCAGAGTTTCCGTTCTAACATCCATCTGAACATATTTACTGCTATCCAAATACCTAGGTGTCCCCCACTCACCCATCCTGCCTCAATTCCTGCCACAGGCCCATGAACTGGAACATTCCAATAAAGCTGAATTGCTGGTAGTTTTCCAGATATGCCACACTCTGTCTCATTCTTCAATTTCTTTAAGTCATCACATGTGCTCCTCCTACTATACAGAGTTTCCTCCTGTGTCCGCCCACCCTTTCATGTTCAAGTCTCAACTTAAAAGCTTCATCCTCTGAAAACAGTGCTGTCCAAAGATTTAGCTTCTCTCTGTCTCACTTCCCCTATGTCTTGACCATGCATTGTCTCCAACATTACCCTCTAGACGTGCATCAGTCTTTTGGGGGCTCTGTGAACTCCTGGGTGGAGAGTCAGCTTCATGTAAAGTTTAAGTCTTAGGATACTGATTGCTAATGAGACAATGACTTTACAGGCACACAGATCTGACAGCCGACTTTTGGGCAAGAGTGTCTCTAGCTTTCCTCAAGTCTGGAGGGGCAGAGAAGATCAGATATAAGTGCACATACACCTTATTTATAACACTATTCTTAAAAACAAATCTGGAAGTCTTAGCTGTGGAGCATGATGAGAATGTGTGGGGACTAAAGAGCTGAATTCTCTGGCTTGGGATTTCAAACAGGGTGGCTTTTTTGTTTTGTTTGGGTTTCTGTTTTTTTTTGCGGGGGGGCTGGAGGGGGTAAGGGAAACACAGGCCCAGTTTTGTTCACTTTAAAAAAAAAAAAACTAGCCTAAGAGATGGTAACTCCTCTGTTTTTGTCTCCTTCCTTGAATCTTCTCCCACACCCTCTGGGCTCTTCTCCAGAGGGTGATGTGTCTGGACTTGTGAGGAGCCCATAGGTGGCTTCTTTAAGTTCATCTAGAACTGGGCCACAACTTAAGGGACCATCTTTTGAAAAATAAACCGGGGACCTCAAACCTTAAATTATGCAAGAAAATCCACCATTAGTCCAGCAGCTTGCTCAAATGGAGCTTTTAAAGATAAACAAAGCTGGGTATTCCTTAAAGCATGAAAACAGACTTTACTCATCTATGACCTTAGGAAAGAGCTGAGCCCCATTCTGATTTGGGCAGAGGTGACTGGATGAATGAAGGGAAAATGAGGGAGTGAGTGTGGGGGTTGGGTGGCCAGTGGAAGTACAAGTAGAAAACTGTCAAGGGATGGTCAGTATAATTGTAGTGGGCCAGCCGTGTCTGTTAGCTGGCAGTTAATGAGGTTTGGATTCTGTCCTCCCCACAGAGACTAGAACAACCAGGCCCTATCCTCCCTGGTGATTACATTTTAAAGCCATTCCTTTAAGCCATTCCCAGGAAGGGTGAGGGAGGTGGGGCCTTGTCCTGTCTGGAAGTCATTACATAATCATCAGAGAGAATAGAAGAACACACATACTCAAAGCACCAAGGGAAGGATTTAAAATTACAAGTCCCTTTTAGCAAATGTTCTAAGAAAGAGGGTCAGGGACCCACAGTTAGGTGTTGTCCAGAACAAAGTAAATTTTTGCAGCCTTGAGCTTTCTTAGGCAGACATTTTAATTGGTGTGTGTGTGTGTGTGTGTGTGTGCTCGCGCGCGCTGCTAGAAGTCTTGCCAGAGTTTGCTCCAGTCGACAAGCAGAGGTTATTTGCTGAAAGTTCTGCAGTTCTCACAGCGACCGGGCAGGAAAGGTTTTTTCCCAAATGTTTTAAAATCTTCCATTCTTCAACCCGCCTTTTGGATCAACTAAAGCGCGCTCCCATTAGAGGCCACCGGCTTTGAAAGGTGACGTTGCGTGACTGACGTCTTGTAGCGGACAAAGAGTGGGGAGTGAAGAGAAAGTGACCAATCCAGAGAAACTGGGCGGATCCATCGTTGCTTTGGGAGCCGCGCCACCCAGAGACGCCCCGGGAACCCCAGGCTCTGCCACGCTGCCTGGTTGCCGCGTCGTCCTCCGCGTCGGGTCCAGGAGTCTGACTGGCCGGTGGTTGAGCCATCTTTGGCTCCTCCCCACCCTCCCTGAGTCTTAAACCCCTCCTCGCCCTTCCAGGCCCAATCACCCAGGCCTGTACCCGCCACCGCAGATCATGGGCGCCGCAGGCTCGGCGCTGGCTCGTCTCGGCCTCCCCGCGCAGACCCGGCCCTCGTGGCTCGGGGTCGCTGCCCTGAGTCTGGCCGCGGTGGCTCTGGGGACCGTCGCTTGGCGTCACGCACGACCCAGGCGGCGCCGGCGGCTGCAGCAGGTGGGCACCGTGGCCCAGATCTCGATCTACCCGATCAAGTCCTGCAAGGGGGTGCAGGTGAACGAGGCGGAGTGCACCACCATGGGGCTGCGCTGTGGCAACCTGCGAGACAGGTATCCCCCCCACCCCCAGCCCCTGTGCTGCACCTTACCGGGGCCGGGGAAGGTGGAGGGAGGTGGGGCCTTGTGCTGTCCAGAAGCATAACAAATGTCATGGCTTTGCCCCTTGGTCAAGTGCAAAGGTAAAAGGAGCACGTGTTCTCTGCAAGACATAGATAGCAAGGGCCTTTTATTGGGGGAAAGGCATACATATTGGTGTAGGAATAACTCATCACGTGTACTGGCGGGCAGGGTCCGGAGCAAGCTTAATCGTAGATCATGCTTTGCAACAGCAAGCTTTGCAACAGCAGTGGGGAACGCCTCCGGGGTGGAGAAATTAGTGTTACAGTGAGCAAAGTTTAAGAGTAAACTTTTTATTCTAAAAAGACTGAGTCAGAGTGACTCTATGATTGCTATTAAAGTACCTGCCTAGGGGCTAATAGAAGGAGAACAGGGGTGTGCCACTTGATTTAAGAATAGAGGGCTACCACCTGAATTTCCCTGTCTGTTGAACCTTTGATCTTTAGCTGTAAACTTTTGCCTGATTCAGTTTTGGTAAAGTGGATAGGGCAAGTTCCTGCCTCTTGCCAGGAGAGAATGAGAGGTTGCACCTTTCCTCTGGAGCAGTAGGACTCTGACCTGGTGATTTTTTTGCTAGCTGTAAAGTTTGTGACTGTCCCCCTCCCCCATTGAAGATTAAACCCAGACCTTTATATTTTTTATTCTGAGTTGCCCAGGTTGGCCTTGAACTTGTGATTCTCCCCACTCAGCCTTCTGAGTAGCTGGGATGGTGTCACTGTGCCCCACAAAGTTTGTGATTCTATCTATAGGACTATAGCAGAAAAACAAAATGCTGTTGGCACTAAATAGGAATAAAACAGAACTGAGTGTCCATCCGGGACACTGGTGTGGGCCTTTTGGGGGCTTGTTACTCCCACTTCCGTTCTCTGGATCATGTTTGGGAGGCTTGAGGTTTTAATGAGTAATGAGTAGAATGGAGTCTTCTGCTGGGGAGAGGAAGTAGCTGGTAGTACTGTGAGTGGCAGGTATGAAGTTAGCCTCAGGTGTATACTTGCTGCTAATGTATAAACCAAGAAATCATAAACGAGGTTAAAATGAAAACAGTTTTATGGGAATGTAGAGTAGATGTGCACATTGGAAAACAGGCTTAGCGAGACTAGACCAGTGTTCCACTGAAGGAAAGTGGGCTTGGGTTTTCATCAAGTCCAGTGATTAAAAGCTGAGGCAGATAAGAGTGTTTGTAAGTTTGGTAAGTTCACTGAAAGGTCCAGGTAAAGAGGCAAAATTGGTGGCCAGGGTATTTCCTGACATGATATCCATGTAGCAATTTACCCCTGTTAGTAAATGTCTGAGACTTAGAAAAGGACTTTTGCTTTCCTTTTGCCCAATCTACAGCCATTTTGATTTTTATGTTACCAAAGGGAATAGCAATGTGTCCTCTTCTCCCAGAGGCAGAGACAGAGTGATCCTCAGTGAAAAACTCTGGACAAATTCCCTACCTACATAGGGAATGCGTGATGCATAGAAATTTAATTTTTAGGATGAAGATAACTGGGTTGGTTTAGCCATGGTCCTGTGTCTGTGGAGGTGGGGAGGGTTGCAAATAGATAATTCAAGGAACTTTTTAGCAGAGGGCCATCTGTTGCCCTAGGTTCGTGCCGGGACACATGTATGCACTGTTCTTTGAGGACTGCTATTCTCTTAAAGAAATGTGGGCTCCTACTGTATTGGAAAACTTCAACTTTCTTAGAGAAGTGTTGTGTGTACACACCACCTAACTCAAGGGCAATATTCTGTTCCCTACTCTCATCCTAGATTTCTAATACCGGAGATATTTTTTTTCAAACTACCCTTTCCTGAGATTCCCTTCCCAGTCTAAATGAATGAGAGTTGCCAAGGGTGATGTCAGTTTATGTGCAGAGTTTCTACCAGGTGATTCTGACACTGTGAAGGATCTTATCTGGGGCCATTAAGAGCGAGAAAATGCTTAAAGCTTATTCAAGTATGAAGGATTAGAAAGGTCTGCCTATTGCTAGAGAGACTTCAGGCACAGTGGTACTGGGCATCCTCCAACAAACTGGGAGAAGTAGAATCTCGTAATGCACATCCAGAAAAAAATGGGCATGTGCTGCTTTCTTCCCCACTTAAGACACTGAGGTTATTTAAGAGATTTCCAGTTCTTGTTTGTGCTTCCTCTGACCATCAGAATTCCTGTCATTTTCCTATTGACACTGCTTTGCAGGGCTGTTGCTACCATGAGAAGAAAGTATGTGTCCTTTGCTCATGCTTCTATCCTTGGCTTCTGCTTCTGTGGGCATCCTAAAAGAAGTAGAACTGGGTTACTTTTCACTTGTTTTGAGCGATACATTCTTGAGCAGGGGTGGGGTGAAGATTGAGGTGGAGAGCAGGGCCATGATATATAACGCAATAGATGCTGAGCTAAATTCAGTCCCATAGATTAGCTGATTTAAACGTCAACATTCTTGTGGGCTAGATATCACTATCCCCAACCTGCAAAGAAGGAACCAGTGTCTGAAGGATGAGTATCTCACCCCAGATCATAAACCCAATATGTGCTAGAGGGATTTGAACTCAGATTAGTGTGAGTACAGCATTCATGCTCTTTCTATGAAACCAGTGTGGTAGGTAGAAGTGTCAGGATTTCACAGAGGATCAGAAAACCTTGGACAAAGTTATTTAACCTCTGAGCTTCAGTTTTCTCATTTGGAAAAAAAAAATTAAAAAGTTGAACTTGTTGGTCTGACCGTGCCCTTTATTTATCAAAGGGCAATTGATATTCAGAGCAGGCTTGCCAGAAAGATCTCTGCTCAATGGCTGCTGTTCTCTGGACTTGAGAATAAGGTAACACAACTACAGACATACCTAGAATGCAGGCCTCTTTTATTTAATTCCAGTCTGCACCTGTGTTTTAGGAACTGTTTGAAGCTAAGATTTTCCTCTAAGTGCTCTCTGCTGCAAACTGCTAGAAGAATTTTGTTCAAAGCTCTTGGAATATTGTGCTTGAACCTGGCAGCCACCCTGAGCTTTGAGGTGTTTAAAGCTACCCAGCTGAATGCTGGCTTTGTGATGCTGGGAGGGCATGGCCCGGTTCCCTGACCTTGTAAATCCCCACTCATGTGTGAATTGATCACTTATCTCTGTTCCTGTTTTCCTCCTCTCTGTCCTTCTAGCTCCCCAGACCAGTTTGTAGCTTGGGAAACCGTTGGTTACTCAAGACACTGTGCTCTTTTGGGAAATCTGAGCTCTGGGCTTTTACACTCATCCCCCTACCACATGTTGTTGGTTTACCCTTAAAATTAAGGTGCTGACTTTTAGTATTACCAACTAGGTTTGAATAACTCAGTCATAAAACCCACCCTCCAGTCTTACCCTTTCTTTCAGATCTGGCCGGAACAGAGCTAATTATTCATTCCCTGGGTATCATTTGTCTGTAGGAAGTGAAGGATATCATTACTCAGGTGACAGGGTGATGAGGTGGTTGGGGAATTTTACAGATGGCAAGCTTTTACCTTTTATCCTTGTCTTTGTCCTGTCCCAATATCGAACTCACTGTAAGTTGCCATTTGCCTTTGTAACTGTAGTTAAAAACCTCCAGCTACCACTTCTCACTGTTAATTCCAGCAATTGACTCCCATGTTATTATACAACGGGCTGGAGCTAAGGGTGGGGTCGTAAGCCACTGTGAAGGTGTAAGGTTGTAAGGGTTAGATGGGAGATGAAAAGACCAGGGAGGAACTGACTGTCAGAAATGATGTGTAAACAGAGTGTCATTCGTGTTTAGACACCTGTCTGGTTGTGTGAAGATCTCAGAGGTAGTCTTGTCTGAGTATGGGGCATGTTGGAAGCCATGGTATAGGCTTTGGGGAGTTTAACCAAAGCAGAGTGTCTTAGTCCATTTTCTATTGCTAAAACAAAATATCTGAGATTGGGAAGTTTATAGATAATAAAGGTTTATTTTGGTCCTAGAGGCTGGGAAATCCAGGAGCATGGTGCTGGCATCTAGTGAGGGCTTCTTGCTGCATCATAACATGGCAGAGGGTATCACATGCATGCCAGAAAGAGCTCACTTTTAGAGCAAAACTACTCCCTTGATAACCCATTAGTCTATGAATGGATTCATTCAATTATTTCCCAAAGGTCTCATCTCCGAATACCATTACCACTGGAATTTGAGGATTAAGTTTCTAACCACATGAAATCTGAGAAACACAGCACAGGGTGATCCAGGTCTCTGCACCTATGGATAAGACTGGAAATAGGGAATGGGGTCCGCCCCAAGGGAAGGACTATGAGTTAGGCAGGGATTCCCTGAGTTTCAGAACCCACTCCAGGTCTGAGCAGATCAGAGAACCCTGGGAACCAAAGACATCTAGAAAGAAAGGTGGCCTCCTCTGAAGCATGGGGACCTACTGCCCAATATCGCCAGATCTTGAGAAGAGAGCAGTCAAGCCAATTTCTAGTGTGCCTTTCCACTGCTATACTCTTACACCATCATGCATGCCAGTTGGTGGTGGGGGGAGGGCATGGGCTACTGCCGTTGTCTGCTGGCTTCATTACAGGGACAGTTTAGTTGAAACCTGGAAGGACTGTGCTGATAGGGAGGTTCCTGATGTAAGACTGGAAAGGGCAGGGACAGAGCCCCCCATGTGTGCTGACGTAGGAGTCCCCATAGAGTAACCTCAGACAGTCCCATTTGGCTCCAGTCATATTTTGGAATATTCTGGGGGAGGGAGCTGCCCCTCATTCTGGAAGAAAGGAGCTGTCCTTCCATCCTGCTCACACCTGCAAAGCCTCTTGCTTTCATTTGCTTCCCACTCATCCACGCCCACAGAGTTCCTCACCTGCGCCACTTCTCTGCAGATGGTGATTTTGAAACTTTTTTCCCCTGGGAGTGATCATTCATGGGGTGCAATCCAAATCTAGCTATCCTGTAGATAAAGGTATCCCTGACTGGGCGGCTCGGGCTCTCCCCCAGATAAGCAACCAGCTCCTTTTGGGAACAGCAATGTTTAGACCCAAAGAATTTGGACCTAGCTAATAATTGTCTAGGAAATATTTGTTGGATCCCCAGTCAGGAAAGATGGAAGGTTTTGAGGGACTAAAAAGCTAAAGGCAAACTCTTGAGAGGGTGGAGGGGAGTTTTCTGAGTCTGTTCTCATTTGCTTGTCTGAAGGTTTTGGCTGGTGATTAAGGAAGATGGACACATGATCACTGCCCGGCAGGAGCCTCGTCTTGTGCTGGTCTCCATCACTTATGAGAACAACAGCCTGATCCTCAAGGCTCCCGACATGGAACAGCTGGTTTTGCCCGTCAAGCAGCCTTCTTCAAACCCACTCCATGACTGCAGGTGACTCCTTGGGGACATCTGGGTACTGCAACAGACCTGATTTTTCTTGAGTCTCCTGCTTGTGTTTGCTAGTTTGTACAGTAGATGATGGAATTAGAAAAGGAAATGTTTAATATGAGAAGCGTATTCTGGCTTGGGATCAGAAAGTGCTCAAGTGCAAGTAGGCACTACAGGGTATTATTTTAAGGGTATATCCAGATACACAGACACAAAAATGACTATCACAAATAAAGAAACTGCTTATGCTAATGGATCTGTAGAGAAGGTACAGTCTACCACAAGGGTCATATACGAAACCACCAGGGTTGATCAGGGGGCAGATGGAGCAAGGGGTAAATACTAACAAGAGCCTTTATTGTAGTTTCTGCAAGACAGGGTTTGCAGGCTTAGGATTTGCTGGTTTGAACAATTTCAGCAGGCTCTGGGATACAGAAGTTGTTTCTAGAGTATCTGGTACTTGCCCCTGGGGCAATTAGGGCAGGGCAATAGTGGCCTAAGGGTAAGAACTCAATACAGGAGGTGGTTGAGGTATAGGCCCTGGGTAGGTTTGGCATTCATATAAAAGTCATATTTGCAGGCTGTGTTAGTCTGCTTTTTGTAGTTGTCGCCAAAATACATGTCAAGGACAACTTAGGGGAGGAAAGTTTATTTGGGGCTCATGGTTTCAGAGGTCTAGGTCGATACCTGACTGATTCCATTGATTTGGACCCTGAGGTGAGGCAGAACATCATGTTGTTAGAAAGCTGCTCAGCTCATGGCAGGAGAGAGAGAGAGAGTGCGAGCGAGCCAGCCAGGGGGCAAGATATGATTCCCAAGGATACTTTCCTAGTGACCTACTTCCTCCAGCCATACCCCACCTGCCTAGTAGTCCATTCAAATTATTAGGACATCAAATGGATTAATCCACTGATATGGTTACAGCTCCCATCTAATCATTTCACCTTTAGACATCCCTGCTTGGACTGACATGAGCTTTCTGGTGGGGGATATCTTATATCCAAACTATAACATAGGTAATTAGCCTACTAATTGGCTGGCCCAGGGAGGGACAGTCCCTTTAACATCAGCAAGGCCCCCAGATGTCAAAGCATCAAAATTACAGAGAATAGAAAGCATTATTAATTCAAATACAAAGGATACAGGTGCTCGTGTGCAGAGCTTGTCTCCTTTCATTCAAGTTGGATGCACCTTTATTTAGAATTGTCAGGCCCCCCAGCCAGGCAGACAAGGGGTTACTGGAGATTTTGCCAACTGTGTCTTGGTGCTGGATGATAGAGATGTGGAGCTTTCCAAGGTGAGTGTAGCCTCTGAGGTCTGCAGTCCACACTGAGGTACCTTTGGCAGGAGGTGGTGGTGGGGATTTTCATCTCTGGCCAGAGACCTTAGGCCTTGGCTTCCATTTGGTCTGGGGACCTCGGATGGACTGTCAAGTTCCCTGGTCTTGCCCTTTGATGTGAAGTTCTGGAGTCTTAAATGTCTGTCATGATATGTCGTGGACACCTTGGTAACCAGCTGAGCATGTCTGCATGCCTGTTCTCCTTCCCTCCCTCTCCCTTTTCTTCCTTTCTTCCTCTCCCTTCCTTCCCTCCCTCCCTCCCTCCCTCCCTCCCTTCCTTCCTTCCTTTAGGAGGGGAATCCAGGCTCTATTACTGAGCTACACCTCCAGCCCCTAAACCGAGCTTTGTAAGTGTGTGGGAATGGGTGTTGTGCAAAGGTGCCAGGGCTCAGGGGAGAGACTCAGGTTATCCCCTGGGCCCTAATCTTACGATTTTCAAACAGAACTTCTGAGCTGAAATCCATCCATTGTATTTCCCCAATGTTTCAAAAAGTCTGAGGCACTAGTTTGCTGAACACAGTATTTCGCTTAATTATCTTAAGCAAATCTTTGAGGGGAATATCATCAATTCTGCTTTACAAATTAGGAAACTAACACTTCTATCACTGTCACACAAAGACAGGCGCTGGGATGTGAGCCCACTTGTCGCCCAGGCTTTTGCTTTTAGTGCCTGTGTGCAGGCAGGGGAAACACTTCCACAAATGACATGCTTTGAGCCAAATAAATTCACGGAGGAGAAAAGCCATTGCAACTCAGAGTTAAAAGTTTGTGGGTCAATGTTTAATGGGTTGAGTGATGGATCTGTTGGTGACCTGGCAGACTTACTCTTGTCACTGACAGTAAGCAACTTTTTTCTTCAAGGATCTCCACTTCATTGCACAGACAGCACTCTAGGGAAGCACAAACCCTGGGTGGAAAGGAGATCGGGATGTTTTGTATGCACATTAGGATTTGGGAGCTCTTCCCAGAGCACATTCTACACCCTCCCCAACTGGGTTCTGCTGCCGCCTAGATTTGGCCTATAAGGTCCATTCGATAGCCATCGCTACTCTGCATTATACAAGTGCATTCATGTAAGAAAGTCACCCTGTGGGGCTGGGGATATAGCTCAGTTGGTAGAGTGCTTGCCTTGCATGTACAAGGTCCTGGGTTCAATCCCCAGCACTACACACACACACACACACACACACACACACTAAAGAAAATCATCCTGTGTTCTTGTGACCTTTCTAGGCTATTTGGCCTTGACATTAAAGGCAGAGACTGTGGTGATGAGGTCGCTCAGTGGTTCACCAACTATTTGAAAACGGAATCCTACAGGTTGGTTCAATTTGAAACAAGCATGAAGGGAAGAGCATCAAAGAAAATTTTCCCTTTTGTACAGAATTACCAGGTGAGCTCACAGATCCCCTTCATGTCCACCAACCACACTTCTCTTTCTAGCTCTCTTCCTAGCCCACGATTGGGAAACCATGTTAGGAAACCATGGCAGTGGTCAGGCGGGTGGTCCTAAAGGTACAACCTGGGTAGAGATACCAAGGATAGAGAGGAAAGTGGAATGAGAGCTGTGTCAACATGCATGGAGGACAGAACACAGGAGATGTTGCTGGGGGCAGAGCCGGAGGTGACTTCCAGGTAGATGGAGACTTAGGAGAAAACCAGAGAAGCAAAAGTGAAAAGGTTGGGACTAAATCCAAGTTTCCTGAAATAGCAGAAGCAGGCTTTCTGCAGGCTTCCCGTTGTGCAGCATGGTTATTTCAGGGGCTGGGAAGGGACTTCCTCCCAAGGAAAACTGCCTCTGTATCAGCCATGGTCCAAAGACCAAGGACTTTGACCAAGGCCAGTGAACCAGTGCTTAAGATGCAAGTACCCTGGGAAGTTGCTCCCTGTAGCCATGGAACTACAAGTTCTTTGAGGGTAGGGGGTTTTATCTGTTTTGTTCACTGCTATTTCCCCATCTAGAAGAGTGCCTGCTCCCATAGGTGCTTAATGAACGCATCCTGAGTGAATGGGTGTTGTTGAACTAATTCTTACTAGAGGGTAGCTGATTGGCAGCAGATGTTTCTCGTCTGATGAGGAAGTGGGAAGGGCTGCTGCTGGGGACAGGGGTGAGAAACATGGGAGAGGAAGTCTAGAAAGTAATTTTAGCCAGGAGCCAGTCCAGGCTGCTGCCCTGTCACTGTGTGGGATAGGAACCATGTTTCAGTGCTGAACCTGGCTAGTTTCTAAGCCCACAGTCACCTCTGCCTCCTGAATACCACTCCCCTCTTCTACACTTGAATGGTTTTGATTCTGGACTTGGCTTAGCTTTGCGGTTGGTCTAAGCAACTTCATGGTATCGAGAGGTCTGATTGTGTTGTGTTCTTGGACAGGTGGCGTATCCAGACTGCAGTCCGATCCTGATCCTCTCAGAAGCCTCCCTGGAAGATTTGAATACCAGACTGGAGAAGAAAGTGAAAATGGAGTACTTCAGGCCAAATATCGTCGTGACAGGCTGTGATGCTTTTGAGGAGGTAAGTGACCTGCTGACTTGTGCTTGGATATGCCTAGGGATCTGCACTGACTCAGGTTCTCCACGGCTGGCGGTGGGGGGCACTCTCCTTCCTTCCAGTTCACCAACTTTGTGGAGTTGCTCACTTATTTCTACTGCCATCAGCTCCCTGGCCTCAGGGGGGCGCTGCTCACCCTTTAATACATTGGCTCCAGGGCATAGAAGACTCCAAATCATAGCAATTCTGAGGCTGGAATATATAATCACAGCTCAGGGATAACTAAAGGGAAATAAAGATAAAGAAACCAGCCATTTCCTACTTTCCGGCACCACCCAGAAGTGCTCTCAAAGATTTGAGTCCTGGGCCCTAAAGTGAAGGATAGAGGGAATCTGCCTTTGAACAGTGCTCTTGGAGACACTGTTTGCTGTGGCCTGAGTTCTCTCCCAGAACACCCACATGCTCTCATAATGTAACTGGCAGCAAAAATTTCCACCCTCTTCAAGCACACCCCATTGTGGCCTTAAAGGGACAACTGCATCAGAAGCCAATCGTGATCCTGTAATCTGCACAGGACATGCACCTAACTGGGTGTTGCTTGGTCCTAGGAACCATCAGCAGTCAGACATTAAGCATGGGAGGGGGAGGCTAGACATTTCGAGTACGGGAAGTAACAATGACAGATATCATTAACTGAACAAATTAATCACTTCATGTAATTATTGGATCTTCAGGCCGACCCTGTGCAGGGGGTCTGTATTATTATCCCCTTTTTATAAGGAAACAGAGGCTCTGAAATGTTATATAACTTAACTTTGTACAACAGGTAAGTGGCATTAGAACCAAGACTTGCAGTGTCAGACTCTGCAGTGTGGGGGGCGGTGATTCCAGTGTAGAGACCCAAGTTGTTAACTCTGAGAAGAAAAGCTCTCCAATACCCCAATTCTTTGCTCCTGTGGATGACTGCACTTCCTTTAGTGTGAATACAATGTCCTCCTCTCATTTGTTGGCAAATATTGTCCTTTAGGTTAAACCTTTTCGCAGAACCTAGTTCAAATCTTTAGATATGTGCAAGAAATATTTGATCATTATTCTATTATTTGATAATTTAAAAATATCAGTGCATACGGAAGTTGTCTGCTTATTGATTTTTATCTTGTCATTTGCTCTCTAGTTATTTATTTTGCAGTGCTGGTTGGGAGCTGAACTAAGGCCTTGTATGTGCTAAGCTTGTGCTCTACCACTGAACTATACCCCAACATTGTTAAATTTTAACAAATTCATGCTCTATTATGGGCCAGGCATGGTGTCTAGGATCCCTGAATATAGAGATGAAAAGATGGGGCTCTTGCCCTTCAGAATGTTCCAGTATGATAGACACAGCCATGAGAAATGACAGCCCAGCATGAGAAATGTCTTAGTGTACACACTTACAATGTACCAGGGATGCCTAGAAGTGGAAAATGCTTAAATCTGCCTGAGGAAGGGAGGTATGGGAGTGCAGAGGTGACAGATCAAGCCACCAGGAGCAGTGCTATGCATCTGTGTATTTGGGTCTTCTGTGGTTTAGGCCGGAGAAGTTGCAAGGTCTTTGTGGGTAAAGGAAGCACCTAGTTGGAAGCCCTATGCAGGAGAGGCCATAATCAAAGAGGTGCCATGGAGTATCTCAGAATCACAGGAGTACCGGAGGGAAAGAGAAACAGGAGGAGGCTGGGTGGGGGACTGGTACCACACCAAGGAACATGGATTTTAAACTGTGAATATAGAGGAGCTGGTAATGATTCTGAACAAGGAAGTTATGATTGGCATTCCTCCAACAAATATCTGCTGAATGCCTACAGTGTGCCAGGCGCAATTACTCTGGCAAGTGCATTGAAAGGAGGAAAGCCTGAGGCAGATAGGCCGACGCCATGGTCAATCACCAGGTGGTCTCTTTTCTAAAATGCATCTTAGCAGGCCTTACCTGAAACCTATAGCAGCATCAAGGTAAGGTCTGTGATTCTTCACTGGCAGCACCAGGCCAGATGAATTTCCTGCTGGGGGTACCTGGAGAGGCACTGAGTGAGGAGATGTAGGAATAGTGAAGGTAAGAAATGAGGAGGCTGTGGAGGATGTTGGAGGGGAAGAGGCCCCAAGGGACTCAGTCACTCAGCTCTCTTTCTTTCTCCCCCAATAGTAAATCCAGGTTAGATGAAACCTGAGCTGTATACAATCTGGGGGACGCTTTAAGAACAAAAGGAACATCAAGCCTCATTTAATTCTGGGAAAAATGACTAGTAGAGTATATCTAAGAATAGAAGCTGGGTGCCTGGCACACACCTGTAATCCCTGTGGCTCTGGAGGCTGAGGCAGGAGGATCACAAGTTCAAAGCCAGCCTTAGCAGCTTAATGATGCCCCAAGCAACTCAGCAACACCCTGTCTTTAAATAAAAGATTAAAAAGATTTAAAAGGACTGGGGATATGTCTCAGTGGTTAAGCATCCTAGGGTTCGATCCCTGGTACAAAAAAAAAAAGAAAGAAAGAAGGGAGTCATAAAGAAATTAGTTCATGAAGCAAAAGTTCCTTCTTAGAGCTCTTTAAGTTTATCCAATATTTTCTGAGAAACTTTCTTTTAGGGAGCATGCTTTTTCTTGAATTGTCTCCACTGAAGGGTAAATTGTTTTGGTATTAATTTTGGGTTGAGATCTTGAGTCAAGAAAATTAGAAAGTTGCTTTCATCCCTGGCTGAAGAATTTTTGCTGTACTGTACCTTAAACTTAATTTAAGGCTAATGAAACCGTAATCCTGTTTTCAGGCAATCTGAATGGGTAGAGTCTTTTTAAAAAAATGACAAAATGTACTCTCAAGTTCCTTCTTTTATTCCTGCATTGGGATTGGCTAACAGAAATGGTAAATATTTTAATTTTCTGGAAAGTCCTCTGGTTATGCACATTAAAGAAAAAAAAAACTCCTTAGTATGAAATGATGCTATATTGCTGATTTATTCTGCCTTAAATTAGGAAGCCCTGTAGTTAAGAGCCTGATGCATTAACCTGTCTTCTTGGTGCCATTACAAAACTATAACCTTTTCAATGAGTGGTACTCTATTAAATATTAATGGAAAATGATAATGCACATAAATATTTAATAGACCAACTTATACCAAAAAATAGCAAACCTAAGCATGGTGCAAAAATTCAGGCTATTGTTATTTTATTGTTATTATTATTATTATTATTATTATTATTACAAAAATATAGAGCAATAGGAGAATGTATTGTGCAATATTTACTCTTTGTGGCCCAAAGTACTTTTTTTTTTTCATGTAACTCAGAATATTCAGCAGATTTCAAAAGGCTTGGGCCAGTGTGGTGTGTTTGAGTTCTGGGAATGCAGAGCAATGAAGTTTAGAAATAAAGACATTGACCAGTACTTCTTATCTCTGTGGTTGACCATTGTGGGGGTCACTGTTTCTTGAACTTTGTTCACTGTCCTCCTGAGCTGGACTTGACATTTTCTATGGGATGCCTTGTTTGTGTCAGTCCTTGCTCCACATCACGAAAGAACTAGAGCCAGGCACTGTGGCGAATGCCTGTAATCCAGAGACTTGGAAGGCTGAGGCAGGAAGATCAGCAACTTAGTGAGGCCTCAAGCAACTCAGCAAGGCCTTGTCTTTAAATAAAATATTAAAAAGTGCTGGGGGCGTGGCTCAGTGGTTAAGTGCCCCTGGGTTCAACCCCCAGTACCAAAAAGTAAGTAAGTAAATAAATATTTTTTAAAAAGAAACTTCTAGAGAAAATCTGCTTCTGTTCTAAAACTGCTTTTGAAGTCAGGCAGTTTTAGTTTGAATCCCAGCTCTGCCACTCACTGGCTGTGTGAATTGGCTCTTCCCAGCCCTATCCTTTCTAACTGGTGAAATACAGAATTTTGGCAAATCATCATTTACCAGATTTTTTTAGTTCCTGATGACCTGAGATGGAACTAATTGAGGTTTTATTTGGCTGCTTGGATGACACTTTTTTCCTGGTAAAAGAACAGTTATTTCTACCTGGCTTCAGGGATTTGAGGTATTAATAATAATTATAATAACTATATGTAATATATAATATTATATATAAATACTTTTTGAGTTTTTTTTTTTTTTTTGGTACTAGGGATTAAACTCAGGAGCACTTTATCATTGAACTACATTCCCAGTCCTTTTTATTTTGAGACAGTCTCACTAAGTTGCTTAGGCCAACCTTGAACTTGCAATCCTTCTGCCTCAGCCTCTGGAGTTGCTGGGATTACAGGCTAGCCCCACTGCACCCCTAGTAACATTGTGGCTCACATTATTGAACAAGATAGCAGTCACTGGGCCAAACCCTTTGTATGCATTATTTCATTTAATTCTTCTTGATACCCTTTCCAGATTGAATCACAACTCATTATTGGGTTATAGTACCACTTTAGTGGGTCCAGACCAATATTTAAAAAAAAAAGGAATAGAATATAGTAAAAGTATTAGAAGGTATTAGAGTAAACAATATGTAGAAGGATTAGGAGCTATTTAGCACAACTTTTGTTTGTTATATGCTGTGTGTGGATGAGAGAGAGGATTAGGAAACAATGTAAAATGTAATTTTCACTATAGGTCACATTGGAAGATGCTCCATTGTTAATTAGGCAGGTAGCATTTTGTTTGTTTGTTTGTTTTTCCTGAGGTCACCAAAACACAATGTCTTTTTTTTTCTTTTAATTTTTTTATTTGTTCTTTTTTAGTTATACATGACAGTAAAATGTATTTTGACATGTCATATATACATGGAGTATAACTTCCCATTTTTGGGGATGTACATGATGTAGAGTTATACTCGTTATGTATTCATATATTAATATAGGAAAATCATGTCTGATTCATTCTATTGTCCTTCCCATTTCCATTCCTCTTCCCTTCCCCTGACTCTGCCCTGTCCAATCTGGTAAAACTCCCCTTCTCCCTCCTCCCCATCCTATCTATTGTGAGTCAGCATATTGGAGAGAACATTTGGCCTTTGGTTTTTGG